AAGATTAGGAGCCCATCACTTGGGAAAGGTCATGTTTAAATCTAGCCAACCTCGTCCCTGCTGGGCTGTGGAAGCTCTGCCTCTGAGAAGGTGTGAATTCTGATGTCCTCTGAGATATTCCAACTGAGAAATCCTGGGAAACTTTATCTGATCCTGTCATTCATGCTGAGGGCAGTTGGACACTTGGAAGATTTGGCCGTTTGTTCCCAAGTGGGGAGGACAGCGTGAAGGAAGGTGAGAGTTTGCTTCTCATGTTCTTAGGGATTCATTCATTTTGTTATGATACCACACCTTTTTCCAACAAAATAAATAGATAACCATTTCGATCAAGAAAGTTGCTTGTCTGCAAACAATATGTCTGGGAATGTTTCATTGTTGAGGATGGAAAACGGGGGTGCAAGAACGTGCTCCCCGGCTCACGTAGTAGGTGTGTCGACGGATGATTCGAGGGCAGAGAACTGAGCACTGAATGGCATTGGTCTGGCTTGGGTGGATTTTCACAAATGACATCAAATTGAGCTGATAGTCATTAAGAATCTCTCTAATGGGGGGCAACTGGTTAAGGATTTCTCTTCTAAACCTAAAGCTTTTCATTTCCTAACAATTAATAGCTTTCCAAAATATTGCACAAAAACAAAAATAGCATATAAATCATTCCCATAATTGCCAATTTTTGCACTGACATTTTTTGACTAGCTGAAAATTTAACTAAAACCTAAAAACGAAACAACGCTCATAAATAGGTCCAAATTTATCTCATCTCCATCTTTTTCCTACCTGATTAGCTGAAAATTTAACCAAAACCATAAAAACAAAACAAAGTTCATAAATAGGTACAAATTTTCCTGCGTCAGATTATAACAAATTTATTAAAACTAAGTTTAGGTTACATCAACATCTGTTTTTTTACCTATTGTTTTTTGGTCAACTGAAAACAATAGGCAAACAAACATGGCTGTTGATGTTAGACTAATAATATCAGCTTTAGATACTAAACCATTTTCGAAGTAAGGAAATACTTGATTAATCAGGCAGCTGTGGTAATCTGCCCTATATCCTTATTTTAAGAAGGACATAGAGTAGATTTCCTTCGGCTGTGTGAAAAATCAGGTTAACTTGACCCAAATTTCGGATAGCCTTATGTAAACAGCTAGAATAAACATTTTTGCTAAGTCTTAACTTTTCATGCTGTAAGGCAATTTCTCGGTGGTGACTTCAATTGATGCTTCAAATTAGGGTTTCGGATACAGGTCTGGAACCATATACTTAAGATCATTTTTTTATATTAAGAATTATATAATTATTTTGCTAGTTCCAGTACTTTATCTGAATCCCGATTTAGAGTATCTATTCTAGTCACGACCGTATTTCCACGTTATTTGGGCTATTGTCACAATCGTCACGCAATGCTGGGACAGTCGGCTAGCGTGACCATCGTGACTTAAGCTTCAAATCTCGTGGGAACTTAAAGATAGGACAATTTAAATAATTATTATGCAGAAAAACATAAAGACTTGCTATTGAATCCAAATTTTTTTTAGGAACTGAAACATTAAATTTTACTAGCTTCACATTTCTTTCGCACTAATTTCTTAAGGTAGAAATAAACCTTTATTCCAATGAGAGAATTAATCGAATTATTTCTACGGGAAGCAAAACAAGCAAACATTTAAATCATCTTTCAAGATCGCTTTAATCCTTTAGTTTGGCGAAATTTGACGGCGAACCTACGCGGCACTGATTTAAACGAATTCAACATTAGATTATAAGGGCAACCAATTTTAAGATATAAAACGAAATATTTAAAGCACAATTTACGCGGCACTGTAGCAGTACGGCGTAAATTGTGCTTCTTAATAATTTCGACTCTTTAGAATAACACCTATAATAAACGACGCGTAAACAATCCGCCTAATTTTGACTTCCAAAGTTCCTTTAATGTAGGTCTAAACACTAAATAAAAAACAAAAACTAGGACGAGAGAAATCCAATATCAGTAGCTTCGCAGAGGAGAGATTATTATTGACTTGTGCTCTTTGGTGAAGTTTGTGGGATGAAGGTCGGTCAGACCAGCGCGATTCTTTGTTCAATTTTCTGGGCATCGATGACGGAGACCCACTGAAGACTGAGTTTCACTGTCTTGCGCCCTCTTTTTCTTGTCCACGACTCTGGATATTTTTCACGATATATTGACTTTGCAGACACGCACTTTCAAACCAAAAAATAATTTTCACTACAAATTATTTTGGCTAATTTTAATTCCAAATTAATTTGGTGTGGTATTGTGACAAAGTTGAATGATACCCTGAGGGCATGAGGAGTAAACTCTCACTTTCCTTTACGCTGCCCTCCCCACTTGGGAACAAACGGCTGAATTTTCTAAGTGTCCAACTGCCCCCAGCTTGAATGAAGGGATCAGATAAAACAGACCAGGATTTTAAAGTTGGAATATTAAATGAGGACAGAAGAATGAACACCAACTCGGAGCAGAGTGGAAGCAACCCGGCAGGGACGGGGGAGGCTAGATTACTTTTTTTTTCATTTTTTTTTTATTGTAATAAATGGACAACAGAGACAAGCTTTATTCAATAAAATACTGTTATCTTCAGTACCTGTGCTGTTTACTTTGTAATCCAACTACTCGAGTGAACCAGATAAACCTAAGGCTCGGGCATAGTGAAACATTACGCGCAGTAAAGACTTAAAGAGGTTTTCGCCAGCGACATCAACACAAGCACAAGTTTAGTGCGGACATAAACAGCACAAGGATAAACACAAACACAGGAAAATGTTAACACTTCATTTCTACCCTCACCACGAATTAACGCAACTAAAGTACAAGTTCAAGAAAAGCAAACGGTTTCGTTTTATTTTTCTTAAATTTGTCCTCAAATTACGTGAATTAGTGACAAGATGAGAATGTGTGTTTCTTGATCCTATGTTTCTGCTTATGCTTATGTTGTTAATGACCTCACTAAACTCACTTGTACCGGTATTGCCTGTGTTTATGTCGCTAGCATAAACCGATCTTTAATATACGCTGTTTTTCTAGCCCTCGTTTGTTACGCACAATGTTGTAAAAGGAAAATCACATTTACACATCGCACGCAACAATCTCAGCGCTAGAAACTCCACGTAATTTTACTGCGCGCAACTTTTCACTGTACCCGAGCGTTCGTTTTACAAAACCACAAGTACTTCAACATTAAAGTCCAAGTGTCGATGCGAACTTGGAAATAAACGCAAATGTCGCAAAGCCACGAAATTATAAAAATTTGCGTGGGTAAAAGGACTTGTCCAGAGGACCTGCTAAAAGCGAAAACGAATTATGTACATCTGTAAATTATCCATTTTGGTTTCAAGTTGATTTAAAGAAATAACAGCGAGTATTTGTTTCACTCCTTTGTCCCCTCTGTATAAAGAGGAAAACGAAAATTGTGCACCAAAACACGCGCTCAAATAGCCTTGAATCGACTCAAAACCAAAACTCAAATTCAGCTGGGCTTTTGTTCTCTAAAATCTTTCGTACTTTTAACACCATTAAGAGTCCTTTTCCCCACGCAAATTCTTATAATTACACAGATACCCAACATTTGAATTCATTTTCAAACTCGTAACAACGCTCGTACTTTTTAAGTACTTGCTGGGTTAAATTAAGAGCTAAGTTCTGCTTTTAATAAACTCCTGGTAAAGCTTTGTGATAAAAGTCAACACCATCTTTATCAAATGGCTTTCATTTTGACGCAAAGAACGCCACATACAAAAAAACGGCCAGGAAATATTTTCACGTGCCAAAACCTTTTAAAATGTGTGTAGTCTTATTTGAAGTTGCTCTCAGATCGTCGCAAGGACAACTGCAAACGAGACTACGATTTTGCAGCGAATTTTACTTTAAAACTCTCATAACGCACAAATATGTGGCTTACTTGCGATAAAACGAACCATTTAATAAAGTCAGTCCATAATTAACACACAAAGCGATATCAAAGTCCTTGGTCTGTCACCCCCTGAAAGGGAATGCAAGACAGTCTTGGAAGGTGTGGATTCCATGCCGTGGAATTCGGATTCCAAATTCTGGATACCGGATCCTTTTTAAGTGGCACTTGTGTTCTGGAATCCAATCGTTTGAGGGATTCCGGAGTACTGGTTCTGTATTCCGGATTGCACCAACAAAAATTTCCCAGATTCTGGAATCTGGATTCCCTTAAAAAGGGCGACATTTTGGTTAATACTGTGAACTTTTTCACTCCAACAGTGATGGACATGTCAATTCTCCTTGCTATTTCTAACAGTTCTGTTTATAATGCCAAGCTACTTAATCGTAACATGGTCTTTCTTATTCCAACCACCCTTCCAGCTCGAAAGGTTCGTATTGAAATCACAAGGACAAATAGCAAGGAAAAAGAGCATTTCTCAAATCTCTCCAAACGATGAAAAATTCTGAGTGAAACTGATGGAAAAAACCGTCAAACTTATAAAACACTACAGTGAAATTGTTGTCTGTGGCTTTCCGATTACCGTGAAAGTATTTTAGAATCCACAAAATCTTTTGAAAAAAGATTAATGTAGAAAAACCCAAGGCCCTTTGTACAAAATAAATCTAAATTTGCAGAAACTTTTTCTAGGAATTTTAGGTTATTGTTTTGGAGGAATTTTCCTACATTGTAAGGTGAACGAGGATGATTTGACAGTTCACCAAATGTTTTAGATAAATAATGGATTCAGAACTGAATGTAGCAACCTCCAGTCCGTAGGAGTTGGACGGCTTTTTGTCTCGGTAAACCAACAAACAAAACCATTTGTGTCGTGAATAATTTCTCAGTTTGAGAGTCTAAGTATTTTTACCGGCATGAAGAAATCTATGAATATCACAATGTGTAACAAATTAACAGTATAATTTAGTGCTTAATTCTTGTCTTCTGTTCTTCAGGAAAAATTACGAGAGAAGCGAAAATCGATCTTGGTGTTACTGCAGTATTGAGTGTGGGTTTTACAAGAAGAAAACCAAATGTAAGGGTTAATAACCCAATTCATGGTAGTTATTGGTTGCCTTGGATACCACTGTTAAATAGAAATTAACGCTTGTCCACTAAAACGATCTCAGAAGTCTTTGCGCTGAAAGCTTGTACCCATTCTTCCTGCAGCTTTTTGAATTGCAACTGAGCACGAGAGATTTGAGAACTTCACCACAAAGTTCACAGTAAATAAAGAAATCAACTTGCAGAAACATGCAATCTACCCAGACAGTAGAGTCAAGACAATAAGTCATTCATTCAGTAAAGTAAAACCAAGCCTAAGTCAGTAAGCCAGTCAGTTATTTAGTCAAAACGACAATATGCCAATCAAGCAGCAATTGATTCGTCAGTATTTTACACAGCAATAGGGAAATACAGTCGAAACTCCACTAACGGCCACCTCTCTACAAAGGCCACTTTTTTGTTCCACGGACAGTCCATACATTGACTCTTGTTTTAACCTCTCTACAACGGCAACGGCCACTAAAGCGGGTCCCCAGTTGCCAAAATAACCTCCCGATAACGACCAGGTTTTTCATCATGCAGCGACTGATAAAAAACAGGGGCACCTAATGTCAATTTTCGGAAAATATTTGTTCGGAAGACGATTTGAAATCTAGAATTTTCGGAACATTTGTTGTAAAATTTCTTGCTTGCCTGCCTCTCTCAGGATTTTCGAACATCTAAACAGTGGTATAATTGCCCATTTTTAACGGATTTTTACCCTGAAAAGGTCACCTAGAATTTTCGGAAGCCCTTTTTCTGGCTGAAATTTTGGAAAAGATAAGTTTTGATCCCTTTAATTTTCGGATCACTAGACTTTCAGCTAGGAAATCTGAACAGATGAAAAATTTTTAGCGGATAAAAATATGCCTATATCTACCGTTTAAATACTAAAATAACAAAATACGTTCAACAATACTATGTTTAAGTGGTTTTGAACTATATTCTCGTTGGGTGCCCCTAGAAAAACTCAAGAATGGTCATGAAATTTGGTCCATATGGCGTGTAGCCGCGGCGTGCAGTCGTGTTTTGATTGTGTTCAATTCATACTGCTGCGCTATTTTCACGGTGAGGTTATGCATTGGCCAGTAAGCCTTATCAGCTCTAAGGTCAGTGCTGCATCATTCAGTCAGCTTCTAAGCCCTCAAACAACACAGTCAGTCATATAGTATTTCAGTGAGTCAATGCATTACCCAGTAAACCAAGTCAATCAGTCAGTCAGCCAGTCAACAAGCCACAAATCATTCAAGGACCACCTACTAGGAATACAATTTCACAGATAGTACAAAAATGCACATTTGCTTCACTCTACATTTTTCAGTTCACTTGTCTTAAACTGATAGTTAATTATTGCATAAAACATAGAGCAATTTAAGTAAATAACTTTTAAATTCTCTGACCTATGATTTATATTCTGTCTTGGACAAGCAAAAAGCATCAAAAAATTCTTTCCAGGTCACTACATTCATAGTTGAAAAAAATTCAAGGACTTTTCAAGGACCTGCACAGAAATTTTACGACTTTTGAAGGAAAAATGGAATTCAAGGACTTTTCAAGGACTTCCCCTAAAATTCAAGGACTTTTCAAGACTGTGCGAACTCTGCAGTTGGTCAGTCCCCAGAAAATTCAATTAGCCATAAATCATTCAGTCAGATGGTCAGTCCCTGGATAATTCAATTAGCCTGAAATCATTCAGTCAGTTGGTCCGTCCCCGGACAATTCAATTGGCCATGAATCGTTCAGTCAGATGGTCAGTCCCTGGACAACTCAATTAGCTTGAAATCATTCTGTCAGTTGGTCCGTCCCCGCACAATTCAATTGGCCATGAATCATTCAGTCAGATGGTCAGTCTCCAGAAAATTCAATAAGCCACAAATCATTCAGTCAGATGGTTAGTCCCCGGACAATTAAATTAGCCTCAAATCATTCAGTCAGTTGGTCAGTCCCTGAACAATTCGATTAGCCATAAATCATTCAGTCAGTTGGTCAGTCCCCAGACAATTCAATCAGCCACAAATCATTCAGTCAGTTGGTCAGTCCCCCGACAATTCAATCAGCCACAAATCATTCAGTCAGTTGGTCAGTCCCCAGACAATTCAATTAGCCTGAAATTATTCAGTCAGTTGGACAGCCCTTCGACAATTCAATGAGCCACAAATCATTCATTCAGATGGTCAGTCCCCGGACAATTCAATGAGCTTGAAATCATTTGGTCAGTTGCTACTCGTCACTGTCTAAGACAGATCACTAGTCATTCTAAAATGTCAGTTAGTCACTTGAACATATCATCAGCTGTCAGTCAGTCATGACTCAGTAAGCTAGATTGCATGTCTGATCTTAACTACAGTCAGTTTTACATCACGTTTCACTGCCATTGTGCAAAGTTGTAACATTTCGAACAATAAGAAATATACATTAGTAGATTTCTTGCTCCAAATGTCTCAAGTTATTTTTCTGAGTGCTGTCAACCATCCAAGTAAAAATGAGAGCTTTGAACAAAATAATATCCCAACCATAAAGCAAAAATGAATACGGATGTGGTTACAATAGATCATAAAATTATTTTGAATCCAGAGTTTGGTGATCAGCCAAAAATGATAAAAAAAAAAGTTATTGTTGGGTGGAATGTTGCATTCACCTCTTTGAGAAATTTAGTTTCATATTTTGCTGACTAAAACCAACCATTATTTTACTATTGAGGTAGTGAGTGATTTTAGTTACAGCTTGGCTGTACTATAGTTTCTTATCATGGCACCAACCATCTCTGCAAAATTGTTCAAGGAATGTTGAGATTAACCTTCCTTAACTTTTACATTTTTGAGCTACTGAGTTAAAGTTTTGAGTTGCTGTTGTTTTTTAATTTCAGCACACACCATAAAGTTCAATGCCTGACTTCAATTGTTGTTTTTATTTTTTCTTTTAAGGGCGTTTTAGAATGTGCTGCACTACAATCAGTCAAGTACTATAAGTTTTGTTGAAATTTTGAAGTGACTCAATTTGATGACAATACCCAACATTAATTTTTTATTATCAATAAGTTGATGTTTTGTTGCAGAGGCCTTGAAAACTTTTCAATTCACAGTCACAAATTAAAACTTTTGGCACGAGGTTGGGAACTTCACTTCAAAGTTTGCCATCATTTTAATTGGTTTGTTGACATTAATGATGTTTTGACTTTGCAATGTAACTGGCACACAAAAATGACGTAAAACTGCTGTAACTATATAGCTTTGCAGAACTTAGCTTCATAATTGCATGTGCTGTGATTGAATAAAAGCAAAATAATCCAGGTACAATCCTGGATTAGATTTAGTCTTTCACACAAGCCAGGCACATTATTTATTATTGTTTATCTGGTTCACTCGAGAGCTGGATTACAAAGTATGTACAGCACTTACAGTACTGAAGATAAACACTAAATTCCTTTCCATGTTGACATCTTGATCTGGAGTCTGTCATCTGACCTGAAGACAAAATTGATTGATCGCATAAGAAAAAGTCCAAGTTAAAAGGAGGAAACTTCTATTAATTCATGGGATTTCCCCCCTTTCAAAGTTGCCATTGCATTTTTAATGAATACTATAATATCACTGCAGTATCTCATGCCGACAACTGGTTGTAGCAACACTGTTATGTAAAGAAGTCCATTCATTGTAATTCTCAATTTAGCTGGTAGAGGATTGGCCCAAATAAAATGATAGCCTATTATTAAGGCATCCTGTTCCATTTTGAGATATTACTTGCTATGCTTGTTTATCAAGTCACCCTGTCAAGTCTGTTTGGGTTGGTGGGGTGTTATATAATTATTTCATTGTTTAATTTACATAATTATTCCCAATAAGGTAGAGAGAGCATAGAAATTATGGTTGTGAGGGTGTACGTCTCGTAGAGAGCTCCAAGTAAGCTTGTAGAGTAGCTTCACTTAAGGCCCTTTTCACACTATGCAAAATTTTGTTTGTTTTGCAAAAAAAAATGTTATCAGGAAGCCATTTCTAGAGCCAACAATTATTTTCTTCACCTACCAAAATTCTCTCTTTTACACTGTAAGTGTCACCAAACTTCAGAAATGCCGTCAAGAAAGTTTGGAAGCATACAACTTTTTGTCAGTCAACAAAACCCTTTGTTCTTTGACAGCTACATCAATGTATCTTTTGTCTGGTCATCTTATTTCATAAACATGACCAGCCATTTTTGGTTACGTGAAATCTTCCATATTTCTCCAGTGTGAACAAGGTTACAAAAACAAAAAAATTGGTAACTACAAAATGTTCGATGTTTTTTGTAAACACCAAACTCTATATTTTGTTGTAGTGCACACAGGGCCTAATTTCAAACATTTCAATGAATAACTTACTTTGTAAGCATGTCTTCCACATCTCTTGTTCTCTTTTTTCTCTTCTCTTTGATTGACTTGTGGTGTGACAAAGAGCTGTTTGCTGAAACATCTGACAGCTGTTAAAGAAATTAAAAAGACAACGAAATGTAAAAAACTGCCTTATCTCAACTACAGTCAGTTTTACATCACTTTTCACTGCTATTATGCAAAGTTGTAAGATTTAGAACATTATTTGTAGATTTCTTGCCCCAAATGTCTCAAGTTATTTTTTTGAGTGCTGCCAACCATCCAAGTAAAAATGAGTGCTTTGAACAAAATAATATCCCAACTATAAAGCCACAATGAATATGGATGTAGTTATATTAGATAGTAAATTTATTTTGAATCCAGAGTTTGGTGATCAGCTACTGAGTTCAAGTTTTGAGTTGCTGTTGTTTTCTTAATTTGAGCACACACCGTAAAGTTCAATGCCTGGCTTCAATTGTTGTTTTCATCTTTTCTTTTAAGGGCTTTTTAGAATGTACAGCACTACAATCAGTCAAGCACTATAAGTTTTGTTGAAATTTTTAAGTGACTCAATTTAATGACAATACCTAACATTAATTTTTTATTATCAGTTAGTTGATGTTTTGTTGCAGTGGCCTTGAAAACTTTTCAATTCTCAGTCAAACTCTCAACAAATTAAAGCTTTTGGCACAGAGGTTGGGAACTTCTTTTGAAAGTTTACCATTATTTTTATTGGTTTGTTGACAATAATGATGTTTTGACTTTGCAATGTAACTGGCACGCAAAAATGAT